GCATATAATATACGATTTTTTTTGCAGAAGGCAAGTTGTTTAGGCTGGCAAACTAGAGTTGAGTTTAGAATGAAGATTCCTTGTATACATACCATGAGCTCTTCTTTTTCCTTTTCATGGCTGAAAAAAGAATGGAAAGAAAATGTAACAACTCAATCATTATATTCTAATGTTGACTCCCCCATGTACTAATTATCCCCCAACCCCCCATCACCGTACATCGATTTTACTTTACTCCTCATCCATCGCCATGTATCTATCTTGTTATCCCTCACGTCCCCCAGCCCACCAATCAAAATTGTACTTACAATGAAGTCAGTCTTATGTACTGCTTTTGGAGTGCCGTCTAAATTATCACAAAAAATGAAGATTAATATAAACAAAACTAATGGAAAGAGATGATTGTGATGATTACTGGATAATTTAACATAAATCTGACAATCCAGCTATAATTGTATAATTAGATAATTACCTGAAGCTCTTTATGAGCGGCGGTATCCAAGAGCTGCGACAAATAATTCATTAAAACTATTATTAGTCCAAAAATGAAATCTTTTATCATAYATCAGAGTGCATGAAATCTTGTTATCATATTGCAGAAGTTCATCAATTACTAATATGATCTATATTAAACATCAAGGGCTCCTGACATCAGAAGTCCCGATAATATATTTTTAAACAACCAATCACAATTCGCGCACATATAAAACGGCACCTGATTGGTTCTTGTTGATTCTACTTCAAGAAACAAGAAAAGAAAATTTGGACGATGGAGGCGAAAACGAAGAGAAGTTTGCATGACGAGAATTTAACACCTTTTGCGAAACAACCATTTCCGAATTTAATAAAAAAACATATTGAAAGTAGTTCAAGAATATTAAATAAAATTGTAGTGAAGCTATTTTTAAAATAGTTTTATCAAAAGAGTAAAAAATGTTTACAAATGAAAACTAAGACGAAAAAGACGGCCGAATAAGACGCAAGAATGTCGCAAAAAGTCAATCAAAACTCTTGTAGTGTAAAGCTTAAATCACTCTACATTGTGTAAGGAGTTGGGAATGATATGATTATTCTGTTAAAGAAAAGCGAGGAATAAACAAACAGGCGAATAGGTACAAAAGGTAAAAACGCCATGTGCGACATGTCGAATTTTCAGTTTGTACACGGACAAGGAATATCGATCGAATCAAAGCAAACTTGCCTAACTGAAAATTTACAAACTTCCCATCTCTAATATAAAAGGTTAACAGTCGAAAATTACGTAACCTTTGACTTTGTTGTAATTAAGTCCAACTCTCTTTGATTGTAAGCTTAACTAAACTTACTTAAGCTTAAGTCTACATCATAACAAATCTACCTTTTCTTTCGATCTTTCTTCATATCTCTTTCTGTACTTTTTCCCTGTTTTCGCGGACCATATTACTCTTGAACTACTTTCGCTACATTGTTAATATAGTAAAGTATATGTTTTCTATCAAATTCAGAAGTAGTTGTCCCACAAAAGGTGTAAAATTCTCGTCATGCAAACTTCCCTTCGTTCTCCTCCATCGTCTAAATTTTCTTTTCTTTGTCTCTTGAAGTAGAATCAACAAGGACCAATCATGTGCCGTGTTATATGTGCGTGCGTGTGATTGGTTGTCTAAAAAATACATTATCGGGAGATCTGATGGTGTCTAGATTATAATATTAGCGAGATAGTTGCACATTTCTTGTTATGTAAAAGCAATACTGTTACTTTAGCTATAAGTTAAGTGCTGCGTACATCTGACAATTTAAATTAATTGCTCCCGCCCTTTGCGCATTTTTTACGCCGACACCCGACCTTTGCAAACTTTTTCCTCGGATACCATAAAATGCTTTGTGGTTTTCATTGTAAAGGTCAACATATTCTCTTAATTATTTGATGTGTATTATCTCAAAAAATCAATAATTTTAATTGAAAATTTAAACAGTGATTATCTGCTTTTGAGCGAATTGGCTCTATTATCTAAAAAAGGTCTAATTCTACATATCGTAGTTTTACTTACCGATTTTGGACTGTGTCGTCGTCCAACGTCATTGGCTGAAAAATAATCAAAGAAGCGGTTTAAAATATGTAATCACGTGGTCTTGTCCGATTTTTCAATCAAAATTAGTACTTACTTTTAACATGCTTTTTTCCTCCAACGGAAGCCATTGTTCGTTAGTAAAAAGTATTTGCGAATCGTATAGAAGTGTAAGTTACAAAGCTGAAAAATAAAATAAAATCAAGCTTGTATTCACGGTTATTGACAAAATTCTTGCAAACGTTTTCCATCGCTGAATAACTATTTTATGTCGAAACAGACGCGCAAACTTACCTCCTTACTCTATCAAAAACAACACGCGAGTGATTTGATTAACGATTATGACGTCATAAGAACGCGCGAAAATACCGCTGTACTGTTCTAGGAAGGTGCGGCGTAATTGAAGTGCACAGGAAACCCAACTGATAGACAAAAGTGCAAATCGCAGAGGGTCTTCTCTATGAAACCAAACATTAATAGATTAATGTAGATAATCATTCAAAGCTGTTATTTTTTATTAATCAGATAACCAATGGATTCAAGAAAGCGCCAAGCAATAAACCCAAACCTCCAAATAAGAAGGAGGACAATGAACATTTAGAGATTTAGAGAGCGATGAAGAATCCATAAGGTACGTAAAGCTTATAGATATTTAGACTGACACCGTGCATAAACCACAGTGCTTGATTTATACCTGAAAGATATGAAATATAAACGCAACCTTCAACTTGACATAATTATTTTAGGAGCAATTGTTAATATACTAATCCTATCAACAATTTATGGAGCGATTACACAGAATCCAGAGACAATTTTATACCCGTCCACTAATCCCTCTTACCAAAATGACTGCCACCGCGGTCCGTGGACACAGGGACCCTAATAAATGTTTTTTAATGCAAGTAATCCAAAATGACTGCCAAAGTTTTTTATCATATATTCAACTTGCACACTTACCAGTGATTTCTTTTGTTTAGTTATTAAGCTAATTTGTGTTATCACTTTGCTTTTATACACTGACAGGCCATGCGGTAATACCTCTGTGTAACTCCCTAGGGATATTATGTCAATATTCCATTCACATGATCGTCTTATTGTCCTTCATTATTGACCGACCTTCGTCATATTCACTTCTCATTATTCGTATCGCCTCAAAATGTCTGCTCTTGCAAAATTGAACAAACAAAACAAGCAAACATGGATTAATCTACAAAAACGACTTAACGAAGTTCAATTCCCTTATGCTGAGCTCTTTCCAGAACAAGTTATTTATGACTTCTTAAAGAACAAAGCCGTGTTTGTGGGCAGTTGTGAAGACTACTTCATTCCATCACTTATTGCCACAACTTCATATCTTCTAATCCTGAAACGATGCAAAAGTTAACGTCACAACCCATAACGAGCCGTTGAATTTGTACACAATATTCATTGGGTATCCAGGCACAGGTAAGATACTAGTTACCATAATTTTCTTTCTGCCTAACATTTACTGAAAAAGGTTGTCCAAATAAATCAGCAAACAGTTAACCACACATTTACAAATTCTATCAACTCCAAATACTTTTAACATTACATTAATGAACTACCATTCAGGACTAATTCATATCTTTTATTTTTAGGAAAGTCATCAGCAATCCGTTATGCTGCGAGTGATTTGCTTGACCACAGTGACTTCGCATAGACTGTAATAAGTAAAATTACATCTTCTGGACTTGTCAAGATGATCGCTAGAAAGACATCATACTTTCTCCAGAAGTATTTGATGTGATTAACAAGCTCATGAAGTCCGACGAAGACAAGTATACAATATAGAACCTGTAAATATGTATTTAGCTATTTCGTAGTCAATAATGACATTCTACAAAGTCGTTGAAGCATATTTAGTGTTTTTAAGTGATATTTTATTGCTGAATTTGCATTGATAATTATTCTATATTTTTAAAAATAGACTGACTCTTAGGTAGGATGGGATAGGAGAAAATGGAAGGAGAAAAAAAATTGGTCTTTCCTTTTCTCAAATCTCTCCTATTGCCGCTGGGCAAAAAATCACGCTAATAATGCCAATAATATCTTTCGCTATTARTTGTCTAATTAGTGTCTAATTTTGAAATAATTTTGAAGTACTATGAAAAGAATTAACTAAAATTGCAAAAAATTAAAAACAAATGGACTTAGAAACTTTACTAAACTGTAGACAACTGTAACAGTTGTGATTTTGTACATGAAATGAGAATTGATGTTTTTATAGTTTTATTATTTATATAGTGTACATTTACTGCGAGATAACATTCATTAAAATCCTGTGTTTCAAGTTTGGATATTTTTTGAATTTAAACGATGGATGCGTTATTTGCTTTGTTGAATTGTATTCTATGCCTTGTATCGATGTAAACAAACGCGTTTTTCATTGTCGTTTTTCATTGTTGTTTTTATTTAAAAATCACTTGGGGGAACTAGAGCAATGACTAAACGCGTTTAGGACGATTTGAACGATCATGTGGATACTAGGTGTTCAGTCGTTGGTGAATTGTACATGCCAGGGTGTGGCCAAGCCAGTTAATGCGAAATTACGTAAAATGTAACTGACACCTCCATGGAAGTCATTTTCAATCGCTTCTGCCTTTTGCCTTTTGCATGAAGCGGTCACATAGAGTGGTTTTCATTCAGTAAACCGTGAAACACACTTTAGCGTATTTATCGCTATTATACTTTGGCTCTTGTTTTTTTTTGTCTCTACGCGACAATTACGATCTATTACACTCTAATTATTACACTTTGTTTCACGGGTTTATGAAAACCACTCTATTACTAAATCCCCCATACTGGAGGGCAAGCAAAAGAATGTAAACAATCTCACAAACAAAAGGAATGTAGCAAGTCAATCTTGACATTTCTTTGCCGTTTGGAACATCCCAGTGGGAAGTTTGCCCTCCAGAATGACTGATTTAGTACCATGTGACCGTTTCATGCAAAAGGCCTATTATCTGAGTCATAGGCAAGCGACTTCAACTAAGGAATGATTTGATATACAAAATGTTGTTGTTTGTTCATGTTTATTGGTGTGTTGTTACAGGAAATTGGTGCTGATGACGTGCGCTGTTTTATCAAGTCACCCACACTGCAAATGTTTAAATGTTTTCCTGTCAAGAAAAGAAAACAAATGATTAAAGATGCTGTAAAGGTTTGTACTGCACTGTTTTGCCATGAAAACGCACCGTTTTTATGCACAAATGACTTTTATGCACTTGTGCACAACCGCTGATCGTAAGACAAAAGAATATCGTGGACAACAGCAGAATTGACTTGACTCAATCGATAAACTACTTCTAGCAAACTATGGCGGGGTGAGAGAAGGGGAGTTCAATTTTAAACTCACTATTTCTTTAAAAGCAACAGTGCTTACTGTTTCTGAAATTAGAAACACTTTCTTTTTTCTATTTAGAAACTTGCACTTTCTAAAACGTCGTCCATATTTTCATCTTTATCACAATGCACTTTTAGAAAGTAAAAATAACGTCATAAGGTCGAGTTTGCACTTAACAATCGAAATCAATTTTATGTAGTCCAGTTATGAAACAATTCGACGAGGAGAATTCTCAATCAAACAATTTCTAGTCAAAGTGTTAGATTGTTGGGATACTTATTACAATAACGGTTCTGTAAAATCAAACCTTGTATTTCTTCCTTTAGGATGATCTTTCTGAGCCGGATAAAATTGCAAGTCACTTCGTCAAGGTATCTATTGTTATCTTCATAAACCGGCATGCAATGCGCGCAGTAATGAGCTCAATAGGCAATGTGCAACGACGTCATTTTGTGTAGCAATGCATGATGGTAGTTGTAGTCCTCGCACTTTTCATAGACCCTAAAATATCTCCTTGAAAGCCGTTTTTACATTTTCTTTTTAGAAATGGACCAAATACTTCTATTTTCGCTTAGAAAAACTGGTTAGGAAGACTGTTTTAGCGGACATAAAAAAGTGTGACGACTACAACTACCATCATGCTTTGCTGCACAAAATGGCGTAGCTGCCGCCATACTGTCCTTGTTTCTATTATGTATTTGTATTCTCGATTGAGAAACAACAACACTAAAACACACGTACAAGTGTGGTTGGAGAGGGTGTTCCAGGATTTACCTCAAACCAACTTGTTGTTCATAGGTTTGTTCAGGGGTCAGCAATGATAAAGAAGCAATCAGTACATGTGCAGGTCAGGAAAGTACATTTGACTCGTTTATATCGAAATTTGCATTGATGATGATAACCCTTCATATAGTAGCTAAGGTTACCTTCCCTCAACCAACCATGTCAGGTTGGCCGTATTATCAATGCGGCCGCCATCTTGAATTATATTCTTTTCAGTATCGATTCAGTCTAAGACTCACCTATGGGATGACGATAGAGTCAATTTCGTATGAGTGGGAAACGTACGGTAGAAATTACCGCACAGTTATGAGACACTAGAATTTTATGAGACACTAGAATTTGGTTACAGTACGATTACGGTTACAGTACAGTACCGTCCGTTTCCCACTCATRCGAAATTGACTCTATAGCTTTGAGAATGCTGTGAGAGTAATAATATTGCATCATAAATTCGAAAAGCAATACATTTGGTTGTTTTTTATGCAAAACCTTCAATTAATTTTGAAACACGAGATTATCAGAGTCTATGGTCTCCTCGTTCAACCTCATGACGCGGGGTTCTAGAGGAGACTAAGGAATTGATTTATGGACACAAATGTTTGTAATAAATGTTGATGTGATTTTGCCTGCTTGCATCCCGTACTTTCTCTATAATATTCAAGATGGCGGACGAATTGTTAATGAGACTGAGAGGGTCTATTGGAAACGGTTTTTCATTTGGCGTTTAATCAACCAGTGCACACGAAAACAGCTATATCACGACCGACATGTAATGGTTTGTCAACTTTTCTTCAATTCAATTTCCGTTTATTTTTCTCAAAAGATGCCATCTTAGGATCAGCTTTAAAAGCAAACATTCAAGAATCAGTACTTGCTAACTCTATCCTGGTTTATTTGGGCTTCTTGAAGGTCTGTATTTTTGTAATGTTCATTACTAACAACTGTAATAACGATGAAGATGTTGTATCATTGTCGATGACAAGTCTTTAGAAAGACTGTTAAACCAACTTTACGTTTCGATATTCTGTGTGTAACGAAGCAGAGGTAGCCAACTGCATCCTCAGTGGTTCTTTGATGCT